AGTCAAAACTAGAGAAGCTTGATTTATGACATAGCTAAAAAGACTTACAATCTATGATATGATGATTGGAGTACTTCAACACAGTTTCGCAAAAAGTGAACACATAATCCGTTTTGGTGTGCTGGCAAATAAATTGAGATCGAGAAGCTTGATTAGCGAACCGGGATGGCGGCAAATAGTGAACACATAATCCCACTTGGGCCTAGGCTGGGAATGTCCCATGGGCCGCCACGCTCCGCCGGCCTGCTCCAGCGGCAACGCGTCGGACATCCCGGCTTCACGGTCGGCGCGGCCGCCGGCCTTTCCTCTCAAACCCTAGTAGACCTTGTTGTATATATTTACCGTGTGAGGTGAGGGTCTGGGAACGGAAGCACCAAACGCCGCCGCCGACCTCCCTCCGCCGCAGTCGCTCATTATCGCTAGCCATCCTCGTCATCTAGCTTTCGGTCTCCAGATGTAGTAGTGTTATATGGTCTCTGGCTTTCTCGTCGATTCCGCTTGTTCAAGTTCTTCGGAATCCTATTTTACCATCATCCCTGGTTTGCGTTGGTATCGCTGCTTGGTGGGGGTGGTGCTGTTGGATGGATTGGTGGTGGTGCAGATGAGGAGTCACGAGTTTTAATGGGTAATTTGCATCTGAGGCATCTCTGTGATGTCACACCCTTTTTCACCTTGGAGATCTGATGCGCCCACCACTCCGCCCAAATCTCTCCCTCAAGCAGTCGACTTTTTTTTTTAAATTTCTTTGTTGCCGTTTGCCCGTTTCAGATTGTTTTGCTTTTTACTATTTTTTTTCTGTCTTTCTAGCCTTCGATGCATATGTCTCGATTTGGATTGATATTTCTAAGAGGGAGGGAAATCAAATCTGTTCAGTGATGCTACCGGTGCGTTGTGTGTGTGTGGATATGAAATGATGACGAAATTGTTTCCCTATTGGTTTGATTGGCCGCCATGATGGCTCAAACTGTATTAGCTCTATCTGATCATCTCCCGCGTCTATCTCAAGCCTAATGTGTTACTTTTTCTTTTTAAAAATTAAAAAAAATGATTTGTATGTGTACACCAAAGTGATTTAAATGCGTATTTGACAAAGATTAACCGAGAGCAGCAGGCGATGAAACGAAGCTTTGACCTGAAATTTGCTAGAGGCACTCAGGTTATAGATGATTTTTGATAGTTTCTTTTGGGATGTAGTAAAAAGGAGGATGGAAGCAGGTGAGGAGTCACAAGTTTTAATGGGTAATTTGCATCTGAGTCATCTCTGTGATGTCACACCCTTTTTCATCTTGGAGATCTGATGTAACCTTTCCCCCTTGACCAAGTGATAAGTTTCTTTCTTTTACATTTAATTTCTTAAGGTTTTTTACTTCGCCATTCCCACCATCCTCCTATTTAGTCAGATTATTTATTTTTACGTTGATGCTTCTTTTTGTGCTTTTTTGTTCTCTTAACAGTGTTGTACACTTAAGAGGATATGATGACCCTTTCCCCAGATGATCGACAATGAACATACTGAGCGCTATAATTTCTCATTTGAGAACCAAGCCAGAATTCTGATCCTCCATTTATGCAGAAAAAAATGATTCCGAATGTCTAGTAGTGCTTGTTTTTGTTGCCTCTTATCAAAATTGGTTCTTTTTGTGCTTTTTTGTTATCTTAACTGTGTTGCACACTTCCAGAGGATATGATGACCCTTTCCCCAGATGATCGACAATGAACATACTGAGCGCTATAATTTCTCATTTAAGAAAACCAAGCCAGAATTCTGACCCTCTGATTGTTTCTTGAAAAAACAAATTTTCTGATTGTTTTGTTGATTTACCTTTTCCTGTATACTCCAGTGTATCATTGCTACACATTTGAGATACTCTAGTTGATACGAGTATTGGCTAGCACTGCACACAGAACAAGAGCCATCGTGTGGGCATTGATGCTACTATTGCTAGGGTACACAAATCTACAGACAGTGGCAGTGCAACTATACACAGAACCAGTCGAACACAAATGGAAAGGAAATCGTAGCAAGCATATGGAATGAAATCAAATTTCAAGTCTCAGTGTTTCAAAAAAACTCACAATATTCAGTCCTAAAAGACTAACACTGAAACAATAACAACATAGCTATCCTTTCAGTCCAAGCAAGTTGGGACAGGGCTACACTTAATCCATCAAGAGCTCCAAGTCATGATCAAGCACTTTAATAGCTGTTTTTTAAGTACTTCTATTTAAATATAGATCTCTATGTACATCTTAAGTTTTTAAATCTCTTTATTGTCTCTCCTATGTCAATTTCGGTCTTCCTCTCTCCTTCATATTTTTAACTTAGCTTAAGATTTCATAATGCACTGGTGTCTCTAACGGTTTACTTTGGACATAGCCAAACCACACCTTTAAATGATCACGTATACGATTGTTCCGAACTTCATTCATTCTTGTGTCACATCACATCAAACGACGGTGACAGACACTGCTAGCTAGGATCGTTTGGGGGTTGATTCCTGTGTACTATTTGCATTTATATTAATAGCAGTAAAATTGGAGAATGAACAATGGGTAAATACTCCCACCGGCCCTAAATAATTATCGCAGTCGGTGTGCGTGTCACAAATTTAACTTAATTTGTAGAAAATATGTATAATATTTATATTTTTAAATAAATTTATAAAAAAACTATATTTAAAGACCTTTCCAATGATATTAATTATGTATCATAAATATTAATATTTTTAGTACATATTTAGTCAAAGTTATTTCTCGGAAAACGAAAACGATATATATTTAAGGACGGAGGGAGTATTGCACAACGATAGTTTTTGGGGGAAATGTACAATGCTTTTAGGGTTCGAGCCAAGGGAGCCACATCTTTGGTGGTGGACTGGTGTGTGCAGCTAATATTCCAACCGGGCGTATTCTCCATGGCGAACCAAGTACCTTAGTTTTGTTTTAAATCAAATCTTTTAATTTTTTTATCTGTTTCCGAGAAAAGTATAATAAAATCAACGATATCAAATGAATACAATACAATGTTAAGAGGTATTTTAGTCTGAATTTATTGGAAGGAGTTTGATGATGTAGTCGATGCATTTTTTGGAAACTCATTCAATTAGACAATTTTTATCTTATACTAGAACAAAACTACTAATACATCTAGCATTTTGGTACAAATGGAGGAAATGGCTAACTTTTTAGGTAAAATATTCATAGTTTGGAACAAAGCCATAAACTATGGTAAAGCAACATATATATATTATGTAAGCAATGCTTTAGAAAAAAAACCAGTATACTCCCTCCATTCATTTTCATCTGGCCAGTTTGTAGTATAATAGACAGAGGCATAATGATCGCTTTTTAACTTCTCTCTCCCGTGCACTCTTAAATACTATTCCAATAGTCATAGTGTCAAGGAGTAAATTATCATATTTGAAGAAATGTCTTCTAACAAAAACAACGTTGAGTAGTGTCCATCAATATCAATATTGAAAAGCGTCCTACAAGAAATTTACCTGACTTTTAATGGGTGTATTTCAATATCATCATTTTTCTAACCATTCTTGTAGTAGTTGTAGGGTAAATCAACCAGGTGGAGATGAATTCATCACAATTAATGATTGGTAGTCCTATATGGACAGAAAAAGCATTTTTTCTAACCATTCTTGTAGTAGTTGTAGGAGGTAACGCCGTGTTTAGTTCCAAAATGTTTTTCCAAAAAGTGCTACAGTATCTATCACATCGAATCTTGCGATATGTATATGGAGCATTAAATGTAGACGGAAAAAAAAACTAATTGCACAATTTGGTTGAAAATTGCGAGACGAATGTTTTGAGCCTAATTAGTTCATGATTGAACACTAATTGCTAAATAAAAACAAAAATGCTACAGTAGCCCAAATTCCAAACTTCCCTCAACTAAACACGCGCTAAATCAACAACCAAGTGGAGATGAACTCATCACAATTAATGCTTGATAGTCCGATGTGGACAGAAAACTGGCATTCATGTCTACCGCAATGGATTGCCCATACCAATTTATGTCAATTTATTAACTCTAAATTCTACACGTTCTCCAGTCTCCACGTTACCAATCGTATTTCTTTGACGAGGACGTCACCAAACATGTTAATCGCGGTACCCATGCTATACTTGACTCGTTACCAGAACTAGGTGCAAGCTCAACATATAACAAGAGAAAGAAAAAAAGCTGATTTTGCCTAGCATTTGGAGGCCAAAGTGGTTGGTAGTGCCACTGGGAGTAGGTAAACCATTCCAGGTTCTCAAAAGGGTTAAGTCCTGGCATTTGGGAAGCACTCTTGCAGATAAGTGTTACACATTTCACAAGAAGCTTATTAGTGAGTCCACGGTAGACCAGAAGGCTAGCTCAGACAAAAAACTAAACATCATGTAACATTCCGGGGCCCTACCACGTTCTACAACAACACAACTGTTTTAATACCCAAACAACCATTCTCCCAGTATGAAGAAACTCCGTTACACCGTACCGTGTACATTACTGTAATAACATCACAAAGCCCTGAGACCAGCCACCAGACACCAGACTCCAAGCGGATTTTGGTGATCTTCAGAAAAGGGCCAAGTACCCTTAATGCCGTCACACCCAGGGCGATCCCCAGATATATACTGCATTACTTCTGATAGGGCAGTTTACCTATACCCTACCAGTTCATTTTCTCCTATGGTGATGGCGATGTTTATTGTGCCGATCAGAGTCTGAGTAATCAGAGGCACTAGAATCAGGGTAGTGCCGTTTCTCCCGAGATCTCCTTGAATGTCTACTGGTTTCGTAATGGCTGCGTTCAGTATAGTCTTGCTTATCGCTTGATCTCTTTGAATGCCTGTTGGTATGACGTGGGCTTGTATCAGAATGGCGCTGTTTCTCCATCGATCTCCTTGAGCGCCTGATGGCATCAGGAGAACTTGCCTCCCTATCATGTCTCTTCTCCCTCGATCTCCTTGAGTGTCGATGGCTCCGATCAGAACTCGAGTCACTGTAATATTGTTTCTCCTTGGGCCATAGAGAATGCCTGCCTCTCAGAAGAACTTGATGAATAACTGTAGTGGCGCTTCTCCCTTGAATGCCTTGAACGCCTCTTGCTTTCTGTGTCTCCTTGATTCTTAGAGAAGGACAATGGTGACTCATCTCTTTTCTCCTTCACGTGTTCTCTCTTCAGATGCCGCCTTGTATCTTCATGGACCTCAAATTCTGAATCAGAAGAAGACTCTAACTGGTATTTCTTCTTATGCCTATGCTTTGACTTACTCTTGCCTTTTCTAGCATCTATCTCAGAATCAGAATATGATGAATCAGAACAGTTTGTTTTCTTTCTCTTGCTTCTTGATGTTTTGTTTCTCTTCTCATTTTCAGAGTCTGACGATAGATGGTAACTGCTTTCATATCTACCAGAATCCTCATGAATAGCAGACTTAGCCTGCTTATGCTTGCTTTTCTTCTTGGAACGTTTCTTGGATTTTCTAGCAGAAAAATTGGAAATGAGAGCTGGAACGTCACAGTTCAGAAAACCTGAAATACAAGGCAGCAAAAATATTAAATCGCAGAAGTTATACATGGATGTTTGTTCATGTTTCAGACTACTAATATACCTCCATATTCATCAAAGATGCCTTCTGCCACAATCTGCTGATTAGGATCATCTGGGTCAAATCCACCATGAGGAGGGCTCATGCCTGGCTTTTGCTTAAGTTCCCACTTCAAAGGCTGTCAAATTCCTCAGATTAAAATTGACGTTTAAACAAGTAATGAGCAAATTTATGTTCCTATTGTCTATATTGGTTGGACATGTATCATGTATGGATCAAATATTGCTACAAGACCATGGATAACTATATATCACAGACTGTTCAAAATATTCAGGTCTCTGCTACATTTCAACGCCCAACATGGTTTCAAGAATAGTGATGGAAGAAACAGACAATACTGACAAGGACGTCATGCTATCATTGGTAAGTTAAGTAATATGTAGTCATGGGGGCCAGCCGGCTAGGTAAAAGTCAAATATACGCAGGCTCTAGAACTGGGACACATATATTTCCATATCTTTTATATGGCATATTTTTTATATGGCTTGCAATTGCAACGGAAATATACTTCAACAACATCATCATCATCATCATCAACAACAACATAGCCTTTCAGTCCAAGCAAGTTGGGGTAGACTAGAGTTGAAACCCACCAAGAGCCCTAAATCACGGTTCACGCACTTCAATAGCTGTTTTCCAAGTACTCTTATTCAAACATAAATCTCTAGGTATATCCTAAGCTTTCAAATCTCTTTTTATTACCTCCCCCATGTCAATTTCGGTCTTCCTCTACCTCTCCTCATATTATTAGCTTGACTTGGGACTCCACAATGCACTGGTGTCTCTGGAGGTCTCCTTTGGACATGGTCAAACCACCTCAATCGATGTTGGACACGCTTTTCTTCAATTGGTGCTACCTCTAGGCGATCACATATATCATCGTTCCGAACTCGGTCCATTCTTGTGTGACCGCAAATCCATCGCAACATACGCATTTCTTCAACACTCAGTTGTTGAACATGTCGAATCTTTGTAGGCCAACATTCTGCTCCATACAACATAACCGGTCTAATCGCCGTTCTATAGAACTTGCCTTTTAGCTTTTGTGGTACCCTCTTGTCACAGAGAATGCCAGAAGCTTGTGGCCACTTGATCCACCCTGCTTTGCTTCTATTGCTAACGTCCGCATTAATATATCTATCCCTCTGTAGCATCGATCCCAGATACCGAAAGGTATCCTTCTTAGGCACTACTTGACCTTCCAAACTCATATCTTTCTCCTCCTGTATAACTCTGTCAAAGTCACATCTCATGTATTTGGTTTTAATTTTGCTCAATCTAAAACTTTTAGACTCAAGGGTCTGCCACCATAACTCTAGTTTTCTATTTACTCCCGCATGACTTTCGTCCACTAACATTTCTTTTGGGTTTCATCTCCATTAAAGTGGCTAAGATTTTACATTAGCTCGCCGCGTCTAACACAACCCTTCTCCTTTACCAAGGCTTGAGACCTGCTATGCTGGGACACCAAAGGCGCCCCACCATAGGTAGAGTTAAAAGACTAACACTGAAAAAAATGATAAATAAATTGGGCAATGCAAAGTTCACATTAATTCCACCATAGAAAATCTATGTGTTATATGTAAGTGATTAAGGAAAAAACATAGATCCACAAGCGTTTACTGACAGCCATTAGATTTGTACTGTGCTCAAGGTGTGGATCACTCTACGGTGGGATGATCCCACTGTGGGAGGAAGGATGCAGACGAGGACTCTGAAAGTTGGGAGTGATCGAGGGGGATTAAATCCCCTATAAGTAAAATCACTGTCAACCCCCTCTAATTCCCTTCAACCCCTTTGATTTTGATAACAACCGAACAAGGCCTAATGGGTTACACCTGGGAGATCTGTGTGAGACCCCGCTAAAATGGGCCAAGTTGGGCCGGTCTGGTGGGCTGGGCCGAATGGGCAAGTACTGTAGCTCCGATTGCCGGTTACTATAGCAGCGGAAACACTGTAGTCCCATACCGGAACATGAGGGGAAACCGAACCAACTTAAAAGCCTGAGCCTGGGAGAGAATTAACTCCGGTTCGAACCTTTTGCGTGAAGCGAGGACAAAAGCGCAAGAGAGTTAATTAGCAGGTGTGGTCCATTCAACGTGTAGAGTGGATCTTAGCCGTCTTCCCGGGCTGGGGCGTTACAATCTGACTCATCCTTTCCTCCATGATCTAATGAAGTGACAAGTATCTTTTTCTTTTTACATTTAACATTTTTTTAATAATAGATGATTTCTGTTTTTTTCTCCTTTGCCATGATGCCCATTATTAAATCTTAAGAAAAAAGAGGCTGATTAATAATCAAGCTTCGTGACTACTTTGATTAGAAGATTTGATGAGATGATATTTGGTTACGTCCATTTTTTCCTTTGTTGATGATTTGGAGCGCGATATGGATATCAGATGGAGCGCGGACTCTCACTGTCAACCCGTGTGGAATAGCTGAATGAGCTGAAATTGTGAACCAAACCAACTGTGAGCTGTGAAGGCGTATTTGATTGGATCCGCCATCAGACCGGGGAAGCGTACTCCTTCGGTTCATTAAGGTGCGGAATTGAACCAAAAAAAAAAGCATTCCCAAACTTGCTGGTTTGAAGTTTGAACTATAGTCCAACAGTTGCAGGGGCGCCGAAAATCGAAATGAGAATCGAGCAGGCAAAGTATACTTTGCAGCTGTAGCTGTCTCTCGTGGTTTGAACAACTGCTTGGATTCAGATTACGTGGCATTTGTTCAAACCACGTAATCTGAGGATCTGCGTAATCTTCCTAGTAGCTGCCAACTGCCTCCGCATGCGTCGCTATAAGCTGAGGATCTGCGTCAGCATTCGTCTGCCACGACGTGCACGGTGACGTGGAGTCGACGCCATGCTTACATCATGTTCGCTCGGTCGTATTTGGCTTATAAACCATGACTTATCAGCCAACGAACAATATTTTTCTCTCACACCAAATCAGTCAACAGTACTTTCAGTCATGACTTATAAGCTAAACCAGCCCAAACAAACATGGCATTAATTGGCAGCTGGCGCTAGTGATTTGTATTGTTAGGCCCTGTTCGGCTTGCTGAAACTTGACTGAAAGTGGCTGAAAAATATTGTTCTGGCTAAAATGTTGTGAGAGAAAAACACTGTTTCGGCTAGAAAAAAGAAGCTGAACAAGCCGGATTTAAGGTAAGACAATAGGGTCGTCCACTGCAAATGGTAAAAAATTATCTGCTAATAGTCAAAAAATGAAAGACAACCGTACATATTGCCACCAACCAAGACACGTCATTATTGTTTCTGATTATTATCATTATTCATTTTGGTTGTAGCTATCCAATCCAACAGACGTAATATTCCATACTGAAAGATGCTTAACCAAGAACTGCTGGTCTGCTGCCTGCACAAAGATACGCACATGCTACATCAGTATTTTCCGGCATATAATTATAATTATCATGCACGCTAAAAACAGTGCTTAGTATCAAATGCAACATTTTCTTTAGTTACCGCGATGGTTTCTAAATAAATCGATTTGTTATAAAAAAATTGACTTCTAAAATTATACTAAATTAAACTTAATTATGTAAGTTTGACCAAATTTATTACATAAAGAATAGAAATTTTTATGATACAAAAAATAGTATCATGGGATGTATCGCGAGATATATTTTTATAATAATGTATTTATTTGATGTTATAAAGTTGATATTTTTCATATAAAAGTCGATCAACCTTATAAAAATTCAACTTAGAACAATTTTTAGAAGTTTCGATTTATTTGAGATGGAGGGAGTGACTAACAAGATCAACTCGTCCGCGGTGATGTGGAGCCGACGTCATCCCAGCTTATAGCGAGCATCAGCGGAGCCTAGGGGCTTATCATTAGCCAGCTAGTAGGCAACAAAGATTTGTCAATTGTATATGATCGGTAGGTTAGATGCTACAACTACAAGACCAAATGGTCAAATCACACGACAAATTTCCACCAACCAAGAGACTTGGGGGGATTCCTTTTCTTTTACTACTCTATAAACTAAACCATCACAAGCGTTAAGCACAAGTACGTGCATTCCCTGCTAAGTCGTCGTACTAGTTAGACCAGCCCTACGTTTATAAGTCATACTTTTTCAGTCAATGAATAATATTTTTCTCTCACAACAAATCAGCTAACAATACTTTCAGCCATAACTTATCAGCCAAGCGAACATGGCACTAATGTCCTATATATCCTTTTTTTTAAACGTGCGTCATATACTAGTGTAATTGTACAGATCAGCAGTCAGTCTGCCCCAAGCGAACAGGGCACTAGTCTCTGATATATCTTTTTTTTTTAAACGTGCGTCATATACTAGTGTAATTGTACAGATCAGCAGTCAGTCTGTCCGTCATGCATAGGCATAGCGGATAATATTACGATGGATGACTGAAGTGGTTGTACCTTCCCAACGGTTTCTCGGCCGAGGCCAAACTGCTCCATCCATTGTACATACACCACCTTCAAGCATTGCCATGGATTAGGATAATTCCTATATCAGTAAAAATATTATGTTTGGCTCGCTCAACTGACCCCGCTGGCACTTGGCTCGTAATTTTACATAGAATTTACTCCATCCATTCTGAATCGTACGTCGTTTTATTTTTCTAGATCTAGATTTATAATGTTTGTTACTACCCTTATGTATGTTGACATAGCCATATATCCGGTGTAGAAAATGTGGGAAGGGGTATAAAGATTTGCATACACTCCACTAACCTGATTTGATTGCTGCGCCAAACCTGTCTCCTCTGGAGTGCTTAGATAGATCACCTGGGACAATGGTCAACATCGCACCCAAATTAAACATGAAAATATATATGAGAAGGGGTAGGTTAGCACAGTTTAAATGAAGAGATGGATGGAAATAGTTTCATAGGATGAAATGAGTCTCATAGGGATGAACTTGTTTGCACTGTTTCCAACATCAAGGAGTCTTGGAAACAAAGTGTCGGTGTTTTCGGACCACCGACGAATAAATTTATATTTGCGCGTCTGGCTCAGATAGTGTGTTCGGAGGACACAAGGGTTTATACTAGTTCGGACAAAACGTTCCTACGTCCAGTTTGC